GATGGAAGTGGAGGGATTAGATTTCAGTTCACTCAATGTAAAAGTAAAACTCAGTTTTCAACACAATCCTACTCAGTTACATTAGTTTGGACTGTTTCCGTAAGTGATTCCCCTGACTTGAAAAAATCCTCCTCTCAATAGCTCAATATAATGTAACAGTATTGATATAACCTGACTCATAATTAATAACTAAAAGAGGCAAAACGTGAAGAATTGTTATTTTTTCTTAACAATGAATCTGCAAAGTATACATTTCAATAAAATATAAATCTGAGGTGAAGAAAAATAAAAGACCCTCACCTGCTCTCCCAAAAAAGTTAAAATACCCTCCATTCAGAAAAAGAAAAAAACAACCATACCCCTTCCTGACCCCCCTCTCTCCATAACAACTTTTTTACAGTCTCTAATTTAGTTTTTTCTCTTCAAGGAGAAATGATACAAACTATGAGGAAAATCAATTTCCTGAATTGAATGAACTGAAAACGTATACCTTCCCGACCCTGGTGTACAGCAAGAACTGCATCGATGGAGAGACGAGCACACAGACAAGACTGAACAGACATTATGATATTCATCACAATAAAGCCATGCAGGTTGACAATTAGGATTCAACCTGTTCTCTCTCTCTCTATTACACTCTCAACTCGTTTTAGGTACACCGATGAGCTGACAAGCATGTGTTATATTGCACCATGAACTGCTTTGTTGCGGGTGGATTGATTTTGAGCTTCATGCTGGGGCAAGGAGTGGGAAGAACAAAATGAAACAAATACCTACTCATTCACACACACACACACACACACACACAGAGTAAAACAACCCAAAGAACACACTTTATATCGACACACACAGACATGAAAATCAATGTAAAAGGTGGCGTTTGATTGCACATACACCCTCACACATACAGTACACAAGCAAAATTAAAGTAGAAAACAGACATAATAAGAAACTCACATACACATACAGTAGATGAAGGCACTATTGCAAGCAAAGTCCAAGTACTATTTGTGACAGACAACATCAACACCTTCTTCCCAGTCCTGTCCTGAATCCCTTGGGCTAGATGTTAGTGGTCAGGGGAAATATTTAGACAGAAAGAAAGCACTTTTAATTTTTTTGTGTGTTTTTGAGAGCATTTGTAGCTGTTTTCCTGTAAAACGAGCAGAGAAAGTCATACCTAAACATAGGAAATAGCTTGGGCTTGGCATGCTGTCATCTAACTTTCCTGTCTGTCTATGTTGAAACAGGAAGAGAGGTGCTGAATCATCTGTCCCTCACTCATCACCTTACCATCTCCTGTATCCCTTAAATCCGTACATATAAACAGCTAACTGATTGCTCAGTGAAGAATGTGTCATTATTCACAGTACAGTGAGACACATTCAATTTTATCTTTCGCTACATCCGCTCTTTCCTATCTACCCTTCCCTTGTGTGGGAAGTGGACTCCGGTAAGTGAATAACAAGTGACTGTGACAAGACACTCATGACCTTGACGTCCACATTTGCTGTGTGAGCTGGAGAGCCAAGTGTGGTCGAGTAAGGTGAATGAAAAGCTGTTCCACTGCCAAGAAACTATCTAGCCCAAGGGTTACACACACAAACAATTACACACACACACATGCAGGCATGCACACACGCACGCACACACACAATCACTCATGCATTCACGCTACTGTTCCCTTCCCTTTCCCCAGGCAGCAGACAAGGCAGTACATTCAGGGTAACACAGGGTCAGTCCCTTCAGAAATCCATCGGATCCTCCTCCGCAAGACCGTGATTGGCAACGGTCCTGCCTCCAACTTTCGATGGCGTCCCGTCACTTTCCGGTTTTGCTGCAGGGGGCGGGGTGAGCCCTGACCCCCCACCTGGCGCAGCCCAGGAATCAGTGGTAGGTGGATAGAAATCGTCATCGAAGCCGCAGAAGCCTTCGTCTACACCTTGATCATAGCGCTGGTAGGTGGAAGCGTGCACCTCGTTCTCTCTGGCCGTAATTTCCAGCGTACTATTCCACATGCCATAGCCAAAGTAGATGAGCACACCTGAAGGGACACGGACACATAGCATATATCCGATACATACATAACCACAAAAACAGATACTGTACTAACCCTAACCCTAGCTCTATTGAAAGATCTCAAAAACATACCTGAAGGCACAGAGAAAGAGTAAACTGACAACTTAAAAACAACTCATCCCACTCTGAGTGAGTCAGAAGAATACAGCAATCCTACTCACAGTAAAAAAAAAATGAACAGATGTCCACCTGTGTTTGTGTACAAACAAAAAAAACTTTGCTGGACACCAGTCTGCATTAATTCTGACTTCAAATAAGCAGTGAAATATAAAAAGGGACAGACGTTAACAGAAGTTGTAGAACACACACACACACACACACACACACACACAAATACAGATGTATAGATAGATACAACTGAGGCAGGAAATAAAAGTTAGATGAGACCTCATTGTTCTTCCCGAAAAAACAAACAAAGCGAGTAACTGAGACATGTACTAGATTTTACTGGCTCACTGAGCCAATAAGAAATGGGTCAACTCAAGAGTAATGAAATGTTATTGTTTAAGATCAAACAAGGTCAATTCCCATCTGTCCAGGATGACAGAGATGAGATAAATCCCCTCTTAAAATCGATCAATAAAACACAAAAAACCTAAACTCAAGACATTCAGTGAAGTGTCTGCTTACCCACAAAGCACCAGATTGAAAATCGTATCCAGGTGATGGCAGACAGTTTAAGCATGAGGTAGATGTTGACCAGCATGGCTGAAGCAGGTACAAAGGGCACACAGGGTGCCATGTAAGGAAGTCGTTTAGGGTTCTCTGGTTGCTGGAGGATAATGATGATAAGCAGGGCAATGAAGATGATGAAGAAGATTAATAGCATCAAAGCCCACCAGCGACCCTCCCCAATACTGCTCGATCCTGGAAGGAGAAGAAACAAGAGCGAATTATAGAATTAATTTAGGGTCACCAGATACTGTAAAATCCTGTCTGAATTTGTTCATGTGTTCTCACCAAAAATGATGAAGGAGCAGAAAACGAAGTTGATGATGAAGAGGAGCAGCACACACACTGTAACAGTTTTTCCCGTGGCCGGAGTTGGCCTGTCCATCTTTCCCGGGAGGCCCAATCGGATCCTCAAGGTGTAATAACGTGGGCCAATGATCTTCTTCAACCGTCGGGACATTCCGCCCTCTGACTCTTCTGCTTCAATGCCAGTGGTCATATCCACTGTGCCATAGTTTGGGTGGCTGGCAGTGTAGGCGTTTTTATCTGGTTTGCCAATGAGCATCTCATTGTCACCCAATGACGGCAGGTTTTTGGCTCCACAGGTGTTAGTGGGCTGACCTCCATACTCATCCGCTTCGCTGGTTGGTGAACAGGCCTCTTTTTCGCACTCAGCCAGAACACCTTCCTTTCTCTTGTTGCTCTGCTCCTCAGAGAGGAAGTTCACAAAGCCGTGGATGTCGCCCTCAGGTTGGTAACGCAACAGAAGTACACACAGGCTTACCTGCAGACCAGGAGAGGGAAGAATTTGTTTCTTTTAAAAGCAAAAAGACTTCTTCATATTTCATTTATGTATCATGACCAGTGGCTCATTGATATCTCAGCTGATTGGCTACCAGCTGACTAGTACCATCCAGTGAGCCGCCTGTGCCCTTGTATGTCTATGACCCTGACAGAGATGCCAACAATGTTTGATCCATCACAACAACCAACTGTTTATATGTTAGACCTTTTGGCAATGTTGACTTTGCTTAGATGATTCATATGTTTGAGGAATTAGTTTCCCCAGCAAAATCCCCATTGTCGTGCACAATAACAGAGGACAGCAGAGCCTTTTTTCCCCAAATCTGACATTTTGAAACTATCAATACGGTGTCCACCATCATTATCCATCGCTTACCAGGGTGTAGGCCAGTAGGGTTCCTATGGACATCATCTCTATGAGGTCTCTCAGGCTGACCAGGAGGGACAGCAGGGCAGCCAGAAAGCCCGACACCACGCAGGCAACAGCAGGGGTCTCTGTGTAGGAAGACACGTTGGCCAGGAACCTAAACACATGCAAAAATGAGTAGATCGAGATTCAGTTGCTCACGTCATTTAGATTGCCATAAAAAATAAACAACACTAAATAACTGTGTGGACTGACTTAAACAGCAGGCCATCCCCTGCCATGGCATAGATGACCCTGGGCATGGGGAACAGGGACCCCAGGAGGGATACAGTGAGCCCAGCTATGGAGCCCACCGCCACAATATACTTTGCGAACATACATCCATGCATTGCAAACATCTCCATCAGCGGGGCGTCTGCGTCAATCTCATTGTATGGTACCATCAGGGTCAGGATCACAGAAACCTGGGTGGAAAAGGTTTGAATACAAACAAAGAAAAAATTAATTAATAGAGGTTTATGTTACAATATATAAAAAAGTTAACCTTGTGATCATCATAAATTGTGGTTAAAATACCTTTTATTTTTAGAATTAAATAATTAAATATTTATGTTGTGTTATGTAAAGCCATCATGGGTAAAATGTGATACGTTTTAGATTTTGGTGCCATGTAATATGATTGAAAGCTCCAGAACAGCTACTTAATGGACCTCGTTGACAGATCATTTCCATGGCCAGCTATTAGCTTTTAAGCTAACGCAGACAAAACGTGCTCACAAAAATAGAAATTTAGAAATCTATAAATCCTTGACAACTGGGCAAACTCCATCTGCTGATGAAGATCACATGATATGACTGAAAGCACCAGATCAGCTGCTAAATGGACCTAGTGGTGAAACTGTTTTCTCAACCTCATCAGAATAAACTGACAGATGCTATAATTATATATAAAGTGCTACATCCTCACAGTCTAGCTTTACAAAGTTAGCACGCGGCACACCGAATCACATGCAAAATGTTAATTAGTCATGCTTCTCCCTCACTGTGTGTGTGTGCGTGCGTGCGTGTGTGTTTAACTGTGTGCGTGATTTTGATCCTTGTGTTTGACGTGTGAAATCATGCAGGGCCATCTGTCACAGATACTGTGCTGCAAAAGAGGGGGATTTGCATGAACAGATTGCATAAAAATAGGAATAATAAAAAAGAATAACCCTCACAGAGAGGAAGACAGAGAGATCAGTTTCTCCCTAGTAGCCCGGTGCCCTTTAACACACTGGTCGACAGTGTGTGTGAACCAGTCCAAGGGTGACTATACTAATGTAGAGAGAATTCTACAACAAATCCTGGTAAGACATATTTGTTTGAGAGACCAAAGCTGATCCCAAACTGTATAGTACAGTGGCCATGTCAGCTAGTTTTCAGTTTGCATATTTAAGTGACTCCCCAGTGGGATTGGTGGTTTCTCAAAACTCATCCAACATGACTCTCTCTTTCACTGCCCTCTTTAGGAAGAACCCTAATATTGAACATTTTGTATAAAGCTACAGTGCCTTAAAATCTCTAATGCCAGTGTACTGTTAAATTAATTATATCAAAAAAATATGTGACATGTGCTTAATTATATTATATTAAAGCGATTTCTTTATCTTGAACTGCAGCAGCCAGAGTATCCTGATGGATGTAGAAAAGTTATTCTGAGACGCCTACAGAGTGAGTTTGATTAAAGAAAGACAGAGATGAAGAGAAGCTGAGAAAAGAGATTTTGCAGCACAAGAGAGGGGTGACGCGACTGGGAGACAGAGGCAGAGAAAGATGAGGTATTAAAAGAGAAGTAGTTGAGTTTTAAAGTTGATGCAATCTTTGGCCCCAGGCGATACCGAAAAAAATTCTCCTTTCTGATAGGCCGCCATTTAGACAGTACCCATAGCAACAACCATCCAGCACAAACTTGTCAAAGTCAGAAATCTGGTAGGCTGTGCAAGTTGAATACGTAAAGACCAGAGATCAGATAGACACCCACACAGTTGGAGTGCAAGGGGAAGCGTCTAAATGTTTGATCTTTCCATCCTTCTGACACTATGTTGCTCAAAAGTAATGCTAAAGGCAATGCTTGAAGATGAAGAATGATAAATATCAAGCAGATGTTGATCTTTACAGTTATAATTTACAGTCATCTTAAAAATGAAAGGATAGTGTTAAATAGTGTGAACAATGATTAAAACATTTGTGATTAAATGCATTGCTTTTGTTTCAAAATAAAATGCTATGTGGGCATATGAATTAGAAAATGTGACTATATGCCTACTGTCCTCCTACAATAAATTTGGTGATATTTATGTGGGAAAAAAAATATTTTGTAACATAGGAGTCACTGAGCCAAGTCATTATCTTACCTCAGTACTACACTGTGCATGCCAAAAAACATAAAATCAGCTATGAAGACTGTTTAGTTGCTGTAGTGATATGCAGTTTTGCATTCTTATATGTCCTTATCTCTGAAATGGTCAATGGAAACAAATTAAGTATCTATTGTCTGTGTTTGTCTCCGAAGTAACTCACAGAGACATATGCAGTGAGGCAGGTGATAAGTGAGGCAGTGATGGCATAGGGGATGGAAGTGTTGGGACTCTTGGCCTCCTCTCCTGTTGTAGCAATGATGTCAAATCCAATGAAGGCATAGAAACAAGTGGCTGCTCCTTGCATCACCTGGAACAAGCAAGAGAAGCAAGAGAAATTATAGCTTTGCTATTAGATTTGCTTACTTGTGACTTAGTAGGTGTGTGTATTTTTATTTATTGTATTTTCATGTGTGTACATACCCCTGACCAGCCAAAGGGCAGGAACCTCCCCTCGTCCCAGTTCTCTCCGTTGACGAAAAACAGCCCGGCGATCATCATGAACACCCACACTATGAGGTTGATGACGTTCAGCACGTTGTTGAAGCCCACAGAGTTCTTCACTCCCAAAGCAACTATCACTGTCACCAGGAGCGCTATCAACAGTGCCAGCAGGTCTGGGTACGACTGCTCCCCTTTACCTAAGGCATAGGATTAAGATTAGCACACACATACAGATATTATAGTTGTACAAATCTTACCTGTGACATCCAAGCACCTTGGTGGTGGCGGGTGATGAAAAAAATCAAGCTGGCTGGATCAACAAATATTGGCAGGGCTTCAAGCCCAAGGTACCATCCTAAAATGTCTTGTTTTGTTTGACTAATAGTCCCAAACCCACAGAGAAAATGATTCAAATCAGAGAAAATAAAGCTCAAAAGTTTTTCCAAAGACAAAAAAGAACAAAGCTCAATTAAGTAGACCATTAATCGATTCTATGAAGGATAGAAGATAACAAAGTTTGGTATTTAAAAGCTAGCAATCAGGCCATCTTGGCTTTTTTTGTAAATATCAAAAGGGATTTTCTAAGAATTTGTTTAATGGCAAAATTGGATCTACAGTAAACCAGTTTATCAATCATTTCTATTTAACCCAACTCAACATGCACAGGAATTCAGTCTTTACAAATACGCAGGTGGTCAGACACCCACACACAGAAACTAATGAGACATATTTTGAGCTAAATTCCACATTTTCCCAGTGGTGTGGAGAAACAGCTGTTTTTCTCCAGCAGGAAAAGGAAATATTAACTTTCCATTATGTTGTGAAACAGCTGCCAATGCTGATTATCATGTGACTACAACCACCGCTCAGTGTCCAACAGGAAGAGACTGTCAGGGCGGTGTCACCATGATAGACACAGCTGCCACACACACCAGCTATAGTATTACAACAGATTAGCAGACATTCCCCTCATGGTATGGTTTTTGACCTAGAAAACTGTGGGGCATGAATCATTTAGAAATCCAAGATGCTACAGCCGCTGTTACTTTCCATAATGACATGATTTCCGAGATAAGCAGTGAAACATAATTTGCTCCCTGGAAAAAAACCTGACACGTCTTGGCTGATTCACTGTTACTTAATTATTATTTTTTTATTTCAAATATGTATTGTCAGACAGAATTTTTTTTAAATCAGCTTATTTTGGTCAACGGCTATTATTTAACCCAGGAGAACTCTGGTTCAAGCCACTACAACAAAGAGTATTGGATGTTAAACTACAACCACAAGTGCAGAGCTGACTTAGATCCACCCTGATGGAGGGTAAAAGGGATCATTTCTCTCCAGAAGTCACTTAGATGAAGGTCTGTTCATAGTTATAGAAGCAATCTTTGCTGACAAGCTGTAGGAAAATGGAGACTCAAATTACTATTCTTGCAAAGTCAAACAAATCAAAACTGTTTTTGTGAGAATATATTGTTCATTATAAAAAGAAACACATATTTGATACAAACTTTTGTCGATAAATTGTATTTATTTATGTGCTGTTTCTATTACCAGCAGGAAAGTTTGCTTACTTCACATGTTGACTTTCTTTTACAAAACATTAGCTCCATAAACCATCCCTACTGCATCAATGACCCCAGCAAGCAAAGTCTCTTTGACTTCCTAAACTGAAACCCAACCCTGAAACTAAAACATATAATTACACAAACTCTGTCACAGACACACATCCTTCCCCACTCACCCAAGCCATTGAGCGTTCCGATGTGTGCAATCATAAAGTTACTGATGCTGTGATTGGCCAGCGAGTCTGCCATGCTGCTGAGAGCCGACGCCCCCGCCGCCGTCCCAATCAGATACTCCAGAATTAAGTTCCAGCCGATGAAAAACGCCACGCACTCGCCCACAGTCACATAGCTGTATGTGTAGGCTGAACCTGTGGTCTTAGGCACCCGCACGCCAAACTCTGCATAACACACTCCTGTGGGAGGCAGACACACATTCATACACACATATCAGTGATATGACTGCATTATCATCTAAGTCAAAGGCTGAGTTGAAGGTACTGATAGGAGCATTAAGGTAGTACTAACACGGCCCTTGAGTGTCTTGTATTATAGCTTTGCCCGTATAATGCCTTTGCCCTTGTTCTAATTGCATAGTTATTGAAATGCTCTTCATATAAATCACATCAGTGTAATGGTGATAAGAAAGACAGTAACATTTATACTGTGGCATATAGTCTATAGTGTGTGTGTGTGTGTGTGTGTGTGTGTGTGTTTGTGTGTTTCTGTAAGAGTGAGAGACAGTAAAAGTGTTCGTAACAGATTTGAGAGCAAAAAAAGTCACAGAATTTGCATCTGCTCCAGTCTCACCTGACAGTATGGAGGCCACAGCGGCGATTATGAAGGACACAATGACCCCCGGACCAGCCATCTCCTTGGCGACCAGCCCCGAGACCACATACATCCCAGTCCCGACACAGCTGCCCACACCCAGCGACACCAGGTCCACTGTAGATAACACCCGGGCCAGCCTCGTCCCATGTGAGCTGGTACCTGTCATGGCCGAATCCAACATGGACTCCACAGGTTTGGTCCTCAGGACACGGGACGCAAAGGTGTTCCATGTCGAGGCCCATTGTACCCTCCGAGGGTCTAGTTTCCCTGCCAGACCGCTCATACTGAGGGCTAAGGTCAAGGGTCAGAGTCAAAGGGAAGAATTTCACAAGGAAGAGTGGGAAGTTCTTTCTTTGATACTTTTACTATTTTCTTGTACAAACGATCATGCACAGTGCTGTCAAAAAGAGTTATTCCTTTTCTAAATGATGGAAGATTTAGAAGAAGATCTGATTTTGTCTTGCTTCCTTTGTCTCTGTTTGCTCTTGTCTCTGGTCCTGGTTTAGTGGAATGCCATCTTAGTTTTTCCCCACATGGTGACAGAGAAAGTTATCTGAAAAACAAAGGTGTGATGATGATTTTTTGCAGCATTTCACAGCACATTGCCTGCTATTATTCGCCTGACACAATGCTTATGTTCAAGTACAGACACCAAGACACAGGAGCCCAACAGTGGAGATTCATTACATGTTGGTCCACAAATGAAGCGTACCTGAATGAGGAAGCAGCTAATTAGCAGTCCTCTCCCTGTAGCACCGTTGCTATAGTAGCCAAGCTCATTAGTGACGGCAATGGATGCTAAATCTTTTTTTGTTTCGTAAGGGAGTGAGAAAGCAATATGTCTATTCATATGGTGCTCACATAATTGTAAACATCTACCAAACTGTTTAAAGTTTCAGATTCAAACAGGGCTGTCATGATTTTATTAAATTCTACCAAACTGAACAAACACAATTTATATTGTGTTCACATTGCAGATGCATACAATCAGTGGTACTGTAATCTATATCTTTGAGGTACTTGTAATTGTATCCATTGTGTGCTCCTTTATACCTTTACTCTATTACATTTCAGAGCAAAATAATATACTTCTTACTCCACTGCATTTATTGACAGCTATAGTCACAAGTTTATTTGGAGTTTAAGATTTACATACAAAATTCAGTAACCCTGTGTTGCGTTCACTGTGTCCAACACATAAATAAAATTGCAACCAATTAGTGTTTTAAATTTAAAAACAATTACCTGGTAATTCATTTCCTACTAAAACAAAACAACTAATTGGTGTAATAGAAAAAAAAGAAATGTCTCTTAATAAATATAATTTGTCCACAACTTAAATAAAACAGCAAGTTTAGAGTTTATTTGGGTAATTATTATTAAATGACAAGCCTTAAATTAATTAAGTTACCCAAAACTTACTGATAAAATGTATTATACTGTCAATGGCCCAGACAAAGTAGTTAAAATTTGCAAAATTTTAGCCAATTACAATAGCACATGCTTTAATTAGTAGTGTATAATTAATTAATATAATGTATAATTAATTACAGTATAATCAGTATACTTAATGTATCAGTTGTCATGGCTCTGCTCCCCTCCTGCTCCTTGCTCCTCCTCCTTCCCTGTGTGTGTCTGAGGGTGTGGCCTCCAGGTTCACCTCACCTGTGTGCTGCCTCACCCTGCCTTTCTCAATCCCATTTCATCAGTCTAGCCTTCAGAACCTCCAAACCCCAAAGGATCATCACTTTCATTCCACTCGACCAAGACCATTGGTTGTTCATACACAAACTCTAGTGGTAACTTTCGTGGCCCCTTATGCAAGTAGTATATAGTAACCTTTACCACTAAAAAGTAATCACCTTCTGTGCATTCTCTCCCTCGCCGCCCCCTGCTCCCCAGTTAACCTCTTTTCTCTACCTGTAAGCTGCCAGGGGTCCTCCTGATGCACAGCTTCAACTCGTAGTCAGCCTCAAACGTGCTCATCCAGAATAGAATATCATACCACGTAACTCATTAAGCACATAAAACAACGCAAAAATTATCATGCTACAGTGGCCAGCAACCCCATCATCACAACGGCTTACCTAGTGTGTCATGTCGGGTAGCAGATGTAGGACAAAAAAGCTCAAAAATTAACAAACAAACACCTGCTACAATCCTAGGACTATATGAAGAGAATCTAAAGCTGTAAAAAAAACCAAAAAACCAACAAATATAAATAAACATTGTAAAAAACAAAAAAATAAAAAAAACCCCAGCGCTACAAAAACCCCACCACCCCGCCGTAACACCACTCCAGCCCCGTGATTCGTACCAATACACTAATAACCACCCCCACCAATAAAATATACCAAAACAAAAACAACAACTAAATAAGTGAAACAGAATGACAGGCATATCTTTTCTAGCCAAAAAAATAAAACAAGCGTAATATACCCCTGACAACACCATATAACTTAATTACTCAATCCTAAGTAAGCTTATAGCAAGATCAAAGCAAACTACACCAAATGAATACAAAAATATATTAAATAAAATAAAAGTGATCCGCTGTAGACCAATGCAAAAAAAACGCAACTCAAACAAAAATAATTGTCAAATAATAAACTATATACCAACCACCTTCAAAATAGATAAATAAAAAAACAAACACATACATAATAAAAATTATAGTGAAAAAAGAATCACACAAAAAAAAACCTCCAAAAATCTCAATCGTATCGCAACTCACTGGAACAGGAAACATGTTAAGCCATACTGAGCTCAATGCAATCAACAATGCTCAAATCGCCACAAGTACACTTGAAATAAATAACTCTAACAATAGATGGCCAGTGCAGATACAATCACAATTATAAAACACAAGATACTCGGCATTTAAACACTAACAGTCAATGCAACAGAGGCCAATACCATATTCAATTATACTTTATATTAAGCTTATCCCACTTCCACACAGTGTCACATCCCCAACAAACAACAACTGACATCAAATCACACTAAGCAGGTACACACACAGCCAACCAGTGAGAAAAGAAGCTGTAGAAAAGTCAGAGAGCAGCCACAATATATAGGGCCCACTCAATTGTGCAGCGCAAAAGTATATCAACAAAAAGCTTTACCTCCCTTTATCACATGTGTACTCAATACACTCACTTAAACAGCACCACACACACCACACACACCCCCACAAAAAAAAAAACCAATCAACCACCCAAAAAAAAAAACACACAACATCAACACCCCTTGTCACCGTAGGACCCATACACAGACAAACTCAACCACCACAACACCCAAATATCCCATCACTACACTACATAGACACCACAACAATGCATAGGTAAACTACAAAAATCACAAAACACGCATTATAACCATAATCTCTATATTAACAGTAACAACGATACCTATCTCTTCTCTCTCTCTCGTGCCACATGACCTTCACCCGCCTAAAGAATCGACAAGCCAATTTACAACAACAAATGAACATTGCAATAGACACATATATATCTCTCATATATCCTTGTCATCCTAATCCAGAGATCTATCTCACCGGGGATACGCTATTCGCTCCTAGACTGCATCCTCTTCTATGTGGACGCCAGCGACAAGAGCATGGCGCGCGCCAAACCAAGCCTCATAAAACAGAAGTGCTAAAATATTCGACTCGTAATACGGGAACGAAGGGTACGCGGATGATCACGGTCGACAAAAACAACCACAAACAACCAAACCCTGTAACGGCACGCGGCTCTCCACTAACCCCACTGCACCAAGAAACAAAGAACCACCCACGACAATAGTCTCGACACATCGTGCGCAGCGTGAGACGACACAACACGACATAACATATCCATGAACATATTTCAGCAAACCTGACTACAAAATGAAAAAATCACCCACCCTTATCACCGTTAAAGTTACTCCTAACCAACGCCATTTAATCCAATTTAAGCATGTTCCACGGTCCAAAACAATCACATGGTAGCGGGGGAGTTGGCAGGAAGGAACAGACATAGACAACTGAAATGAGAGCTACAAAAACAAAGATAGTCGATTCAAAAGATACAACATGCTGTAAACAGCTAAGACAAGGGAAAAAAAAAAGTAATAGAGAGAAAAAAATAGTCAAAAAAAAAAAAAACAAAAAAAAAAAAAAAAAAAAAAGGAATAAGATACAACATAAAAAATAAATATAACAAAAAATTCAAATAAGGCTCAATTTGAACACAAACCAACAACTCGGAGGGAAAATGCAATAAACGCGTACATATGGAACCTTAGTGGTTCCATCTCAGCATCGGAGACATAGACCAGGTCAAAAACCACCTGATCCCAAAACTACATTCCTCTATTATCCATACTCTGATTCATTAATCCAATATCCAACATTCAAACAAACTCACTCAAACAAACCAACAAATAGCATCTAGCTAACAAGAATGGAAACAACACAAAAAAAGACAAACTACAATATATGATATAAACGCCAAAGATGATAGGTCCACCCCTTACAGGAAGAACTGTACAGCCAAACGACAACAATAACCACACCAGTGCAAAGGCACTCAATATTGGAAGTAGCAATATCTGTGACTACACATCAAACACAAAAACACTAAGGCATAAGCAATTCTCCGCAAAAAGGCACCAAGAAAAATCAGATAAACAGTCAATTACTATTCGGACGATCATCAAACTAAACTGTCACACAAAAAACACACGTGACACCTAAATAACCTCAGACACACAAATAACACCTATAACGACTTCACTTCTGGAAACACATATATGAGAAAAACCAACAACATAGTAAGATAGAAGCCCGAATAGTTGTGGAAGGAGAATTAGGAAATCAAGAACACAGACCTATCACACAAAATCCATGAAGAGACGGATGGTAAATCTACTGTGTCTGG